TTGTTTTCCATTTGTGATTTTACAAAGATTTTATTCTTAGCTACATGAAATCAAAGTGATGGTTTTTGTTAACATAAAAGATGAAGAAGGGAGAATAGTAAAAAGTAAATATGCAATAAGATAAGGCACTTACCAACCGGCCAAATTTGGATTTATCAAAAACTTTGGATCTACGATGACGTGGAATACCTACAAGTTTACACATGGACGAAAATCAAAGATGCCATTAATAAATGAACAAGTGATAAAAAAAAAATCTCAACAACTCACTTTTGATATAAAGTGTTACAGACAACACAAATCTTCCAGTAATTCAGTGCAGAAGGACAGGAATTTTAAAAACTGCTTGTTTAAGGGAAGAGCTGTAGATCCAGCAGAGGCAGAAGAGAAGGAAACAAGATAATTTGCAGAAGTATAATGAAGGAAAGGATGGAGTGACTACTAGAAACTAGTCTAAAGCAGGGCCAAACAAGAAGCCATAAAGAACTAAAATGAACAGATGACTGAGAAACTCATTCGAGCCAGATGCCACCTCATCCAAACACTACAATCTTCACAATGATGTTTATGAGAAGGCCAAAAAGGAAGAGCTAATGATGATTTGATGGCTCACTTAAATGTTTCATACAATGGGAATACAGGGCCAAGGATAAAACCACCTTTATTGCATTCAAGAAAAACTTAAACTTACTTCTAACCTTAACTGAAGCACTAGATATCAAGTAAAAATTAAGATCCACATGTTAATAATACTATGACAGGATGTATTTACTGCCTCCTTTTGTATGTAAACTTTATGATAACATTTACGCCACTTTTAGTAACATTCAACCATTTCCAGCAAGAAAAGAAATATCAAGGAATTCCATAACAAATCTGAAGTACAAAAGAGCAACAACACTCTTGCATTCACATTTTTGGTTGCTGTGCAATGTCTAGTAGACTTTTCCTTGCCCGCAATGTGTCAAACCTATTACCAGATGGTTGTCAAGCTCAACTAAGTTGCATGGAAAGCCTCAAACTGAATCATTTAGAAACAAAATTGAGAAATATATCTCGAAATGAGTTCTTAAACCTGATGAAGAAATGGGAGAGCTTTGTGCCTTCCTTTTATCAACAGAAAGCTAGGTCATTGAACCTAATATGTGTGTGTGTGTGTGTGAGAGAGAGAGAGAGAGAGAGAGCTACGGTTCAGCAGAACAGAGTTTTATCTGCCTGGAAGATGTTGAAGGAAACAATAATGTTGAAGAGAATGAATGGTGGAAAAGGGTATGAAGTCTTTGAAGTCAGCCAAAGAAACAATGTCCCTTCGTGTCAAGGACCGCAACTTTACTTAAGCCCCTTAACCCAATCGCAGCCGCAGTTTGCCTAACTTCTGCCGCACATTGTAAATATTAGTTCAAGTTTGAGTTGTAATTTCCTTTCCATTGTAATAGTTATTTCAATTGTAAAATAGCTTTGATATTGGTAAACGTTTAGTATGATTCCTCATCATTTAAAAGTCTACTCCTATCACTTAGATTTTTGTTCTGCAAGCTATTATGGGGGTATTAGTCTTTCAAACAATCTTTCAAGCTGTTGTGATTTCCTACTTTCATCAATTATAATTTCTAGCTTTCAAGTAATCAATAATCAATTTACTTTTATATTGCAAGCTTTTGACAAATTGTAATCAAATTTTCTTTCGTCCCGAAATGGGCGAGAGAAGGTGGAAGGTAATCTACCGGAGTAGATTACTACCGCACGGTGTCCCTTTCTGTGCCAAGAAGAAATGCACCCCATGAAAGTTGATATCAGAGCTGCGGCCCACAACCCTCGATAAGAAAACGATTGATCCAATCATATCTAATACCACAAAAATGTTAGATCCTCAAAAGAGGAGCACGAAATAGCGCGTAGATGCGCTTGATGAGACAACTACTAGGTTCTGCTATGCCGTGGAGAACCTCAAGGAAAAAGTTGAGGTGGTAGAGACGGAAATTCGTGAATTACACATCAAACTGAATGAAAGCCAAAGGGCTTGCACAATAATGATTGAAGCTATTGGTATCATGCCTGATCTGCAGGATGAAATGGAAGCGTTGAGAGCTCAATTATTAGTACTTCAACGTGCGGTTGGAAATGGGCAAGCCCTCACACGAGGGCATGTTCTCAGGCTCAGAATTCCGGAACCGTGTACCTACGGAGGGGCATGCGATGCAAAAGAAGTTGAGAACTTCTTGTTTGATATAGAACAATACTTTCTTGTGGCTTCGATCGAAGATGAAGTAAGAAATGTTACAACAGCTACCATGTATCTTGGTAGAGATGCAAAACTATGGTGGCGGACAAAGTATGCTAATATTTAGGGCAACAGGGTCCAAATAGATTCTTAGGATCTCCTCAAGGAAGCGATCATATCTATGTTCTTCCCAGAAAATGTGGAATATCAGGCACGATGTGCACTATGAGAACTGAAACACACAAACTCCATCAGGGAGTATGTGAAAGTCTTTTCAGGGCATATACTGAATATTCGAGATATGTCGAAAAAGGACAAGCTATTCACCTTTATGGAAGGGTTGAAACCGTGGACACGCACGGAACTTCAGAGACAGAAGGTCACTAATTTGAGCACGGTCATGGGAGCCGCTGAATGCTTAAGTAACTATCAGATCGAGTCGAGAAAAGATCAATGTCAATTTTGTCATCTCTAACTATAAGATTCGATGTCAATTAGATATCGTGTGTCAAACACGAAGATGTAGGCATATTCAAAAGAATAAAAAATAATTTCTTTTTATTTTTTGTGAATATTTTTAAGATATCAAATACAATATCCTTAGTGCAACAAAAACAAGCATGATGTTGATATGTTGAGTGGCCATGTTCTCACCAAATTGAGCCCCTCACATGGTCTTTCATTTATTGGTGATGTATAGCCATGAATAGTATTAAATGATATTCAAAATATACAAGGTAGTCTACATGTGGGATGATAAAGATGTCCATAGATAGGACATACTACTAAGAACTCAAAATTACATTTTCCACCCTTATCTTTGTTTATTTTCCAATATATACCACCATTATTTATTTTATTCCAATAATGTATGACAAGTGCTTTGAATTAAATATAATGAAGCACTCTAGATAATGTATTTAGTGCCAATCTACATAACTAACCAAAATTCATTGCATTACAAAGTGGGCATCTAACGCATGGTTCATTCTAAGCATGCAAATGAGGAATGCAAAATGATGTCCTTCTTTCATTATGCAAATAACAAATGAAATTTATAAAAGGGACCATCATGGTTTATTTCTCATGTGCGAAGTCGAAATGAACAAATAGATTGCAAGATATCTCACTCTATTTTAAGTAAAGTCAAGCTTGAGCAGCTTTTTATCATACTTGTTCATTTCAATATGGAACAAACAAACTAAAATATTTAGGGTGCGAAACAAGTTACAACAAAACTAAAAACTCAAGTCTCCATCAAAGTAGCATCGGGTTTTGGTCTATCCATCTCAAGTATATAGTAAAAATAAATGAAATACATATAAAAACTGCAGTCGAAAATGTTACAAGTGTTTTAGACATCATAGAAAGTTTATATGTCAAATTCAATTCGATTCAGCTAATCTATATGTTTTTCAATTTCTTATTCTTGCAACTTTCAAGAAGTTATTTAGTGATGTTTCCTTTAGATTTTATAACTAAAAAGCATGCAACATAAATAACATGGGTATAACTTGGAGTGCTTTTTCTATATAAGCATTAACTCTAAAAAGGTGGATGAATTGGTGGACATTATGGACTGTGTAGGATAATAGAACGAACAAGATTAAAGAAGAAAGACGTATGAAATATTCATTCAATGACTAATCAAATATACAATATATCATTGGTTTGAGGACTTCATTTATTTTCCACATCTATCCCTAATATTCTATTATTGAGACCTCATACCAATAGAATTGAAAAAACCCTTGGACCACTCTCTATAGCTCCACGTATGTGATTTTGCAACATTATTGTTGCATTTTATATTTCCTCGAGACCAACATGATTGATAAAAATAGTATAGATTCCATTTCAAATTGCTCTTCCTCTAATAAATAATTAGATAGTCGATATCTTTTGTAACACGTTTTTTTTTTTTTTTCCTTTTTTATGTAACTAAACTATTTCGTTTAAAAGTTTAATCTGACAAATCAACATTTTAGAACATCACTCTCAAGTGTCGTTTTTTGTTACGACTTTTTACGATTAAATCCAAAAAAAAAAAAAAAATGTTTTGCCAATGTACCGATTTGTGATTCGCTAGTTAACAAATCCAAATATAGGGAAATAGCCAATGAAGTGGTGTACGAAAACTTTGTTGATTTGCATGAGAATTGACTAATGAAATTTACAATTTGATAATTTTCCATCACAATAATTGAAGGTAGTCATTCTTCCAATTTTAGACAGTCATTATCATAGCGATTTATTAATATTTTTTACTCCAATGATCACAAACCTTAGAAATAGACTTTGTCTGAATCTCATGACTGCATCATCACACTTTTACCTTAGTATCACCAACCTATTGGCTCATTTATAATGTGACCCTTTGTCCAATAGATCCAAAAGTGAAGTTTCACCGAGATTATTAGACGAACCATCTCATCTAAATATTTAAACATACCCGACAAACTCTATGCCATTGTATATGTACAAGAAACAGAGTAAAAACAGAGGACCTGTAAATACATACATTCTGATTCACATAATATGTGAAAGAATAAGCAAAAACCAGCTGAGCTTCTATTTCTATCTATATCCAAAAGCCACAAGCTGGTTTGCTAAAACCTCTCACATAAACTGGAAAAAAGGTAAAAAAATATATAGCACCTGGATCCATACGAAAGAGGGTTCTGAAACAGGGAGGAGATTCCGGGGTTGTATCTCAAACCAGCCCTCTGGTAAATCTCTCCTGAGAAAATTAAAAAATACAAGCTTAAAACGCGATAGATTAGGCTTGATTTGCTAGGTTGTTAGCACTTATGAATGTGCCATGGAAACCATAAGGAACTCTTGATGGGAGCTTGACTGTGGCCTCTAATTTCATACTCATGGCATTAACAATTTGTAGCTCTGATTTCCATGCCTTTTCATCGTGCACGAAGGCTAGAATGTATCCGTCATCTTCTGCTTCACAATTAGGATCTTGAGGGAGGAAAAAAGGCTCGCCACCATATTTTTCATCGCCGTAAAAATACTTGTTCACTTCACCTGTGAAAAGATCGACTTTAGCAAAACCAGAAACTTTAGGCCATGGCTCTGCGATGGCAAGATACGCGTAGCGGGTTTTTCTCCCGAGCTTGTTTCTGTTCACCATTCCTGCCTCTAAATTCACTTGATCCCTCTCAGACATGATAGGCCTCCTAGAAGATTTTCCAGTCTTTAAATTTAGTCGAATTTCGGATAAAACACTCTTCAATTCCTCATCACATTCGTTGAAAATCGAGTCTGGTGGAGTCATACATGAACCAATGACTACAATTTCATCAGTTTCTGGTTCTTCCCATGCATTCCAGAGGTGAAAGCAAAAGCAATCAGGCACTTCAACCCACTTCATACTCGAAGCATCTTTCGCGTACTTATCCAATACTCCGAACCTCGATACTTTTTCCTTGTCATACACGACGGGCGAGCCACCACTTATCATTTCCGACATCTTGAACACCACTTGCTGATCAGGCACAATCACAAACTTCTCAGTGATAGCAAAATCATGCATCATTGTTGGCTTGGAAACTGGGATTTCGACATCCTCAGACTTGTGTCCATTTCTTGAAAATCTGAAGTACTTTAGATAAGGCTTCTGTATCACGTCGTAGCTTAAGGCAAAGAGTTCACCGGTAATCGGGTCGATCTTGGGGTGAGCAATCATGGTGGATTTTAGCTGGTCGTCGAAATTGTATCGTTCTACGCTTTCAAGATCACCGGATGCAGTCACGCGTACATGGTACGGCAAGTCATCTTCAGACATGGCTAATAACCGGTTGTTGAAATAGGCCAAACCGGCGTTAGCGACACCGGTGCCTCGACTATGATCAACAAGGCCAAACATTCCCCGGGCATAGAAAAGCATCAATCTTGCTATACCCGTGTGGCCATGTAGTTCACCAATGGCTTTAGGAAAAACAGGGCGGCCCAAAGACCGTTCTTGAACCAGCCTTTGAGTTTCAGTGAATCTGCAGGCATAACTCGCAGAACCATTCTTGAATTGCACGGCGTGGATCATTCCATCTCCATCAAAGAAATGATGACCCGCAATTGGCTCGAATAATGGATTAGCACCGTTCCTTACATACACTCCTTGAATGGATTCCGGGATTTTTCCAGTCACCGGAAGTCTCTGCCTGACGGGCTGTTCCTGCACCGGAGAGAAATTCCCGGCAATCTGAACTCCCGGGTCTGCTGTTTTCGGTAAAGGGCGTTCGAGTTCGTGCACATTCAATGCATTCTCCACAACGTCCAATGCTAGTGCAGCTGCTTTTTGAATAAAATTCCATTGCGGTTTTGAAGGGGAATTTGAATCTTCCTTTCTAACAGTAGGTACTGTAAAAGGAGGTGGATTTTGAATGGTAGATTGCTTTGGGAAATGGATAGTTTGTAGAGAGCAATTTGTTTGATGAGTATTTTTGTGCTTAATCCAAGAACTTGTTGTATTGGTTGAAGGTGTTATAGCAGCCATGGCTACCAATTTTGTTGCACTGAAAGTGAGGCTGAATTTGTGCGTGTTCTCAGTGTGTGTATAAGGTGTGCTATGTTTATGAGTTTGGAATCTTTGGATATAGAGAGAGAAATTGGAATGAGAGAAAGACAACTAGACAAGAGTATTTTGGTTGATGTGATAGAAAGGGTAGTATGTGGAGTATATATAGGGGAAATGTGGAGGAGGAGGAGGTCCACTTTAACATGTTAGAGAAGACCACGTAGTAGATTTGTTGAAAGAGAACTGAGTATTGGCAATGGAAGGGGAGGTGGCCCCGACAGGACCGAAACAGAGTAGATCCTTCGTTATTTTTAAAATATATTTTTCACTCGTTTATTTTTCAATCACATACTTTTTAATAAAATAATATTATACGTAAGTTCAAAATTTTTTCTTATTTTTAATTACATATTCCCTATCAATCTACTGATTAAAAATGTATTACTAGAAAAAAAAATGAGGCTCAAACAAACGCTGGATATTTCTCCTCAACCCCATAATTAGACTGAAACAGACAAGACATGACATTTCTTTTTCACCCAGAATCAGATCAAAACACACTAGACTGGTAAGTTTTAAATGATTGTGGATTACAATTAATAAGTCATTGTGATCAAATTGAGAAAGAGATAACATAAGAGGTCCTTTTGAATTCCTATTACTATTGTGACAAAAATCGCATCTCGATGATTTAATCGTGATCCACAACGATTAAGTCAACGCTAATCAAATCAAATAATGCTAGCAAATTCTCTCAACCCTATTTACTTAAGCACATAATAGCGTACTCGTAGGTCGGCAATTGAATTAATAGAATTAGAAACATCATATTCATTTTCCCAGAAAGTTAAAAGGAATTATTACCAATCTACCGACTATTAACTATTTCGAGACAAATTTTAACACGCAATTAACGGACACCACCATAAGAAGAAAATTTCCAAGAGAAAAGGCAGGATTAGTGGAAAAAGTGAGATTAAGGTAGTTAAGTTTTGTTATCAAATTGAATAATTTTTAATTTTGTACAAAAATCTTTAGGCAACCAAGAAAGTTGGGTGGGATATTGTTATTTTTATAATTGAGATAGGTCCATTTTTGTTTATTTGTCTACAACGCCGCGTTTTGGCCTCTAAAGACTGACTTTCCCAATACGTGGCAGTCAAATTGAGGATCTTAACCTAAATGTCGGCATATCGAATGTCCAACACGCTTGTCCCTAAAAAACACTCACTTTTTTATCGTTTCCAGTTTGAAAACCATGTCACTTCAAGACCAATATGCTAATTTTTTAAGTTTTTTTTTTTTTTTTGGTTAAATTTTAAAATAGGTTTTAGTTAGTTTATTTGCCTCCGTTTGTTTCTCATTTGTCATCCATAAAAATGAAAAATATGACCGTTATCCATCAGATCAAGCCATCAATTTTGAATTTCTATCTCTTATGTGGGGCCCAATAACGACTATATTTTCATTTTCATTCTACAATAATGAGAATCAAATGGGTCATTACATTTTTTTTAAAATTTGTCTAAATACATTAAAAAGACTATTTTGCTTTAATTAAAAATGTTATTTGAATGTTCAAACTTCTTGTCCCTATGAGGGTTAAGGAACTGTTCGATAATACGGAAGCTTTTTTCGTATTTATGAGAAAATTATTTGACGGAAAACTGAATTGTGGAAAGATATATAATATCGAGATCTTTCGAATCAAAAAGGGTTGGCTATCGATTTTAAATCATGGTTTTTTTATGCTAAAAATTCTAGAAAATAAGTTTTCAATTGAAAGATGCTCCTCTCTCCACTTATTCTTTAATAAATTATAGCATAAATTATTCATAACTCTTAAACTTACATGGCAGAGTCAAATAAATAAAAGACCTAAATTTAAGTTTTGCCTACTACTTCTCCATGGAAAGTTCCTTTTCCACACTGAAGAGTGTGAAGACAAAATTTACAAGCGAACCCTTTCAAATAGTTTAACTTATTAGATGAAATAGTTTAACATGATAAACAAAAATCGTGATAAATCACGTCACCTTCTATTTACGTACAAATGTGCCTATATATCTTTAATTAAAAAAAATGAAGTAATTCTTGATGAAATCAGGGAACTTGTTAAATAAAAACAATATTTAAACTTTTATATAAGATAATTTACATTAATGAACATTTTTAGAGACGACAAAATGGCCGAGCGGCTAGTCGGCTCGTGAAAACACGAGCCGCGAGCTTCTCGGGCTCGTCAAATGACTAGCCCGAGCCATGAGCGGCTCGTGGGCTAGTGAAAAATTTTAAAAAAAAGTGAAAAGGGAAAAAAAAAAAAAAATTCAAAAAGCTCCTGGGCTCGCAGCTCGACTCTTGTGCCCAGCCGAGCTCCCCCACGAGCTACAAGGCGATTCGGCTCATTAGAAACAAACCACGAGCTTGAGCCGAGCTCATGGGTTTAAGGGCTCATTGCCATGACTAAACATTTCTTTGCTGGCTCGGCACATTGCCATTATTAAACATTTCCTTTTAGTTCTTATCAGCATCGTTGCAACTTGCGAGTTCATTAATAATAATAAAATAATATAATTAGTATCTCCTTCGATATGGGAATTTAACTTGTACAATATTTAAACTTTTATATAAGATAATTTACAGTAATGAACATTTCCTTTTAGTTCTTATCAGCATCGTTGCAACTTGCGAGTTCAATAATAAAAAAAATAAATAATATAATTAGTATCTCCTTTGACATGGGAATTTTTCAAGCCACTGCCACTAATTCAAATGTTTTTTTATCCCTTTCTTGGCCATGGTCAAGTGCACCAAGATTGATACTTGGGCACTATAGTAACTATTTAATTAATTACCCATTAAAAAAGTAATTAATCTACCAAAAAAGATGGTTCATAGCCGCAATAACACATTAGAATTTTAATCACATTCAAACAAATTTCTTAACATTATTTCATTTTTAAATTACTATGCAGGAACAATGTTTGACCCTCGTTTGAGCCTCATTTTTTCCATCAAAATACATTCTTGAATAATGATTTGATTCTATTTCAATTACACATTCTTCAATAAAATAATATTACACGTAAATTTAAAATTATTTTCTTATTTTTTAACCACACATTCTCCATCATCACACTATTGTAAATGCACTTTTTGGAAAAAAAAAAAAAAAGGGGACTCAAACAACCCCTTAATGTCACACTAACCTATCAATGATGTCCTTTTTCGACAACAATATCACATTTACTCAACTACATAATTTTGTAAATTCATTATTCCCAGAATATGTTAAATATGAATATGATAATTACTCGATCTCGATGAGCACTAGTATTTATATAAAATTTCTTATTTTTACTAGCTGGGTTGGTACGATAAATCGTACAATATGAAAGGAGCTACCGTTCCATCTCAAAGGATTCATCTATTAGGTGGAATAGTATATATCAACTACCCAATCTCTAACTAATGTGAGACTTTATTCCTACATTCCGAACAATCCCACCTTCGAAGAAAGTTCCGTATCATCTTGGCCCTCCTTCAATGAACATGCCTTGATCACTTCCAACTTAGGACCCACCACCTTTGTTTGGCTGCAACACATGGCTAAGTTTGGGACAATTCTTTATAAGCGCATCATCTATCATATCCCATGATGTAAGACTTTGTTCTTGCATTTTAAAATACAAATAGTGCACAAAATTAAAATAATTCACCTTCTCACCTAATCACTTTCGGTATCGACATTTATTAGATTTTTGTTCAAATCATAGGCTAACAGCCATATCTTGGCTCCTAATATAATTTAATGAATTGTTTAATATTAATCTAAGGTCTTCTTCATGTCACGGATGACTCTAACCAACAGAAAAAGGGACCATTTAATAATGTTTGGTAAAGCATACAAAAAATATTATTAATTTATTAAAGAAGGCCTGATTTGATAGAGATGATCTTTTTCATATCTGCTGCCTGCCATATCTAACTTTCGACATTCATAAACTATCTACCGACGTGTCACATATAATATATATATATATATATATTAACAAAATATGATTATTTCAATGTGTTTTAAGAAGGAATCAACGAATACATGTATGTTTTTAAGATGACATTCTCATTAGATATAATTAAATACGATAACTAAAAAAATTTCATTACATGCTTATATTATTCACCAAACATGTTCTGGATGATTACGATATGAGATTATATAAATCGAGTAGGTTTTAAAAAATGTTGGGTTATGGTTAGCAATAATAAGCCCCAACTTGTCTCTTAAAGATCTTCCTATATTCACTAGCATGTTATATATGCATGTTAGCACATGCCCAACCATCACATGATTGCTTATCTCAGCTATGTTCTTCAATATATTTTATAGTCAACCTAATTAATGGCAACAACTTGACATAATCTTTAGTAGGGTATAATTTAATTTGGGATTTAAACCAACTAAATAGAAGTCACTAATGATTATCCTAATTCCTAACTAATGCATATTGACCTCAGGATGCATGCCAAAACACGTTTTTCTTGAAGTCGCATTAATCTTGCATCAACTCTTTGAACAATCGTATACAATTTTTCAAGTGCAAGTGTATCGAGAACGAAACTCTATGCAAGAAAGAATTGGATTAGATACTAATGCACAAGCGAGTTTGAAATACGGTGGATTCTCGGATTGCGTTTTGGTGAATGTGGGTGGCTTTAGTGATATGAGTAATAGTTTTTGAAGAAAGTAGTAGCAATATTCTACATTGATTGATATCAGGGTTGGAGATCCCATGTAGTTAGAGCATTCTCATGGAGTGAGGGTGGATAATGTAAGAGCATGCTTGAAATATGAGTGAAACAAATGAAAGTGGACTTGTGTTGAATTTCTGGACTTAATTATAAGTGATATAAGGTGTATTGCACTAGTGCTTTTGGATAAACTTGTAGTAATACTTTACGTTACGTACTCTAGTAAT